CACATCGAAGCCATTCTGGGTGAGTATCACACTTGCCTGGACATGAACATTTACTTCGTGGACGAGGCGGGCATGCAGGTGTGTACAGTGGAATATGTCGGTCTTGTTAAACAGAAGTGGGTAAGTTAGTAGCCACAGTCGACAACTGAAGTATGCCAGGAGATGCGCAAGCAGGCGGCTAACCTTGTCGACAAAATTGTGGTGACCGGGCAAGAAAGCGTACAGGGCTCGCGACGTCCCACGCGGGAGGATATATATAAGAAGCATATCTCCGCAGACAAAGTCCCTGAGCGCCTCCCGTTTGCTATACACACTGCGCTCGTGGAGCTCCGCGGCTGGAAGAGGTTCGAACTGAACTCAGTTCCGAAGTTACTCGGCAGATGCAGTGTAGCATTCGTGATTGATTTCTCGTGTCATTGCGTTGCATGAAACGATATCATTATGATACCTTGTCGCGGTCAGGTTCGTTGGGGTAACAGAGGAGAATATCAATTCCATCTTCAGAAGAACCGCGGTGTGTGCATACAAGAGTACCTTCGTCGATGCCGCTCGCATCTCCGGCCGGGAGGAGTTGGCTGCATCTCATGGAATATTTCCACGGGATCCCACGTTGAAAGACTTCCTCAGAGAGAAGCCAGTTTGTCTAGTCACACTGCGATGCATCTGGAACTACGCACGGAGTCGGACAGCGGAACAATGCCGTGATGTACTAGAGAAGTACGTCGTCCGTGGTGGGGATGGTGGGTTGACTATGGCGACCGTCCGACGAAGTTGCGGTTTAGTGCCAAATGAAAATGTGCAGGTTGACGACGTGCAAGAAACACTGGATGCCTTGGTCAACAAGCCCACAGACCCATCTGCGGCTACTGGTGCCCCTGCGAAAGATCAAGCGTCCGTGGTCAAGACCACAATCGATGGGCACAAAGAAGAGCACAAGGAAGCTTTGCGACAAATACGGCAGTGGCTAGTGGATGAACGGAAAGACTGGTTCACAGTTGCCCAGCTGAAGACTGCGAAGGCAAAGTATGCTTTTCCCTTTGGCAAACAAGACGCACAGGATGTTATCCAGAAAATGGTGTCCGACGGTCAACTTCTATCAGCACCTGC